ACACACACACACACACACACACACACACACACACACACACACACACGCATACATGACTTGCCCCCACCACCACCACCCAGGCTGCCTCTGCCCTGACCTCCTATGACCAGGTGGATTGGAACCCGCTTGCTGCCTCCTGAGCCTGATCCTGGGCCACTGAGCATGTCAGGCGGAGCAGCTGGTGGTGACATGCTGAGCACTGGCACCAGAGCCCAGAGAAGGCACAGGCTGTACCGCCAGCCTGCAACTCATTTGGCTGCACATAGGGTCCTGTGCCGAGGGGTAAGCTCCCCTCCGCACTTGACTTCTGCTGCCTGGCACATGCCAATCGCACCCTTGCCCACTTGTCTTGCAGACACCCTGGGAAGGCTCTTGACCTTTGCCCTGGTCCTGTCCCCTCCCACCATACGTTTCAACTAAGCCTGTTGGTCTCTTGGACTTCTCTCTTCAGGAAGAAATGCTTCCTGCACTCAGGAACATGCTGAGCTCAGGAAAATGCTGAGCCTCCATGGCTCTGGGCCTTTGGGTTGCTCAGGTGGCCACCCAGGATGCCAAGCCCCACAGGCTTCCATGTGTAGCCCAGAAAAGCAGCAGTTCCACCCAGCAAGCCTTTCTTGACTCTGATGCCTAAGTGCTCCATCTTTCCGGGGTGGTGGGGTGGTGATGAGGACTCAGGCTGAGGACTCTGGCGAGTGGCTGAGACTTCAGCAGGATTTCTCCATCATTGCCCAATGCTGGGGCGATTCTCCGTAAAGTTTCCCCCAGTGCTAACTGGGGGTTTAGGAGGGAGTGGGCTGGGAAGGTAGGAAAACAGGTCTTAGCCCCCCTCCCCAGATGTTGTGTCAGTAAAGAAGCTCACAGAGCCCCAGGAAGATGGTAGTTCTCAGGGTAGGGAGCATCAGCTTGCCTTCAGGCCTCGCCTAAGCAGTCTCGAGGAACAGTTGACTCTTTTCTCGCTGGTGCATGAGGGCTGGGAAACAGTAACTGGCAGAGTGCACCTGTAGGACCCAGAGATGGCAAGAGGGCAAGGCTACACCGGCAGATGGCTGGGCAGGGCTGCTTCTGCCATTGTTTACAATCTCTGCTTTTTTGTATCCAGGGGACTTGATGGTGGCTATTAGGCAAAATGCCAGTTTCGTGGTTCAGGTAAAAAGTCTTTGGCCATTCCCTGACTTATTATCATTCCTACTGTCCTGGTCCTTCGTGTGACTCTTGGCTTCCATGCTTAGTGCCACCTGACTGTGGTAGCTCGGCTGTGCCTTTTTGAGTGGGGTCTAGCCTAGTCTCCCAGCCTCATACTTCAGCATATGTGCAGTGCCTGCTGCTGACAAGGCCCACGCAGTATTCCTCGTGCTCTGTGCTAACATGTTCTGTGTAGGGACAGGCAGAAATGGTTTTAGCAGAGCAAGTATAACTAACTTATATTTCCCTTCATGAAGGATAGAAGTAGTGTGTATGTCCTTTCCAACCATCCTGTATAATTTTTGTAAACTGTTCTCTGCAAACAAAAAACAAATGTAAATATGCTTCTAATAAAATAACAAGGTAATTTGCATGTGCTGTTGTTCTTTCTGGTTGGAGGGGGGAAACGGGCATGCTTCCTGTTTGCCCAGACAGAAGGAAGGGTTTACCCTCTGAGTACGGAGGAGCCTCCTCCATCGGCAGCAGGTCAGACTTAGGGCTTTCTGTTTTAAGTTGAGAAAGGAAAGAGGCCGAGGCCGAATTCTCTCATTCAGTATCATTCTAACTTAAAGGTGAACATTGATTGACAAACAACCCCACTTTTCATGTTAATGGACTGAATTCTTTCCATAACTCCGATGAGGAAGGGGATTGTGGGCACACTCAGTGTCAGGATAATCGCAGGGGCAGTGCTGAGTGACGCCTTGAGAATCCAAGTTTTTGCCGCTGATGCCACTACACCTCTTTTGACTGGCACTAATGGTTTGCCATCTCTTCTGTATTTTAAAAGAATTCATCAGGACAGATTTAGCGTGGTGGTAGAGTGTGTCCTAGCATGTGCAAGGTTCGGGGATCCATCTCGAATTCAAGAGAAGAAATAGAAATATAGTTTATTTTCGTCTGCCTGTGCCTCTTAAAACATCACTCGTGCTCTTACCCTGGGATCCACAGGTAGAATTCGGGCCATCTCTGCACTTGGTTGTCAAAAGATGTGGACTTTAGTTTTGCTGCCTGAAATTAAGCATTTCCCTTCTTCGTGGAGGCGGGCAACAACCCCGGAGTTAACAGTGGGGTCTCTTAGTGTCCCCAGCAGAAACCATGCCTGTCAAGGGCAGTGGGAGGGATCCAGGTGGAGCCATTTCTTGCTCTTTTTTCTATTATTTTATTATTTTGTGTGTGTAAGAATTTTGCGTGCATGCAGGTACGATGCCTACCAAGTCAGAAGAGCGTGTTGGATGCCCTGGAACGGGAGTAACAGATGGTTGTGAGCCATCATGTGGTGCTGGGAAATGAACCCAGGCCCTCTTGCAAGAGCAAGAAGTACTCTTAACTACTGAGCCAACTCTTGAACCCCATGAAGCCATCTCTTGAACTCAGACCTCAGAAGAATCAGAACCATAGGTAGGGTCTGGGCTGGAGGTTGGTGGTGGAAGTTCATCCAAGCATGGGAAGGGAAGGAAAGAGGGGGAGGGGAGAGAGATGGGAGGAAGTAAGAGGGGAGAAGATAAGACCAGAGTAGAGGGGAGGGGAAAGAAACAGACTAATAGGTGCTCTCGGTACTAGACTGGCCTGACTCCCACAAACTCACTGCTCCTGCTGTGCTTGCTGTGTTGAAGGAGATAAAAGGTTGAGTTGAAATTTTCAGGAGAGAGCTGAAACCAAAAGATTAAAAAAAGAACCAAGTGTCAGGGCTGGAGAGATGGCTCAGAAGTTAGGAGCACTGGTTGCCCTTCCAAGGGTCCCGAGTTCAATTCCCAGTAACCACATGGTGGCTCACAACCATCTATAATAAGATCTGGTGCCCTCTTCTGGCATGCACGCCCATGTGCGGGCAGAGTACTATATAATAAATAAATAAATCTTAAAAAAACCAAACAAAAAACCCCCACAAAAATCCAAGTGTCAGAAACTGTGATGGTGATAATAGTCAAATCCAGTTTCCAGATTTTATACCCTTGTAGTTGAAACTTTTCCTCTCCCGGTTCAAGCTTGAATTAGACTGAGAAGTTCGCAGTGTGAGGGGAAAGCGTGAGCTGGAGATATAACTGAGCAATTGTGTGTGGAAGCTCCTTGGTAGGATGGTGTCCGAGCATTGAGTTGCATCCCTGCACTGATTTTTTTTTTTTCCTTAAGAAAAGCATGGCTCAGCAATACTTGACTAACCGTACCACTTGGATGGCCCTGTAGTCACTGGGCAGAACAGGCTGTCCGTCTGCCTGATGGCATATGACTGTCCCACCTGTGTGGAAGCACACAGCAGAGCAGACATATGGTCCTCCCTTTCTAGTAAGCGACCTCGGAGGAGGCCGTGTTCCAAGATAGTAGATCTTCCAAATTCATTTTCTCCTAACCTCAGAGAACACAGCCCCCTGAGACTTACACAGGACATGAGGCCTGCTCAAAGGGTGGGCTTCAAGCTGTGGAGGTCTCGAGGCTGCTGGTCACCAAAGAGCACCCAGCCCGCCGGGATAGCAGTCCATGCTGTACTTCTTCGTAGGTTGACACCCCTGTGACTGGAGATGAGAGAGGCAGCTAAGGAGTGAAGGAAAGAAAGGAGCGTGGGGTGGGTGCTCCCCAGCTCATGGTACAGGAGATACAGCCCAGAGCCTTGTACACAAGCCCTATTACTGAGCCCCCCCCAAGTGTCCCAGATCCCCTTTTGCGGTTCATCTTACCCATTTATGTGTTTTTTTCTTTTGTCTTGCAGCTCACACCAGACTCCCCAAAGGGCTGCTTTGGGGCTACCAAGGCCACTTTGCCCACAGGGACCAAGTGCCTGGAAATTGGCATCTACCTACCTTGAGATGAGTCTTAGCCAGGGACCCAGCAGAGTGGGAGTATGAAAGGCAACAAGTCAGGGCAAACCCCAAGGCATGGTTGACACTCTTAAGCTCCCCGAGGGATCAGGCTGTGGCTCCCCCACTCTCCTTGCTCTGCCTTCCCTCTCCCTCTCTGGCTTCTATTCAGTTACCAGCCTCTCGATCACCTGCACCTAGCTCTCAGAGGACTCCTTAAGACCTGTGGAGCTGGTACGTCTAAGAGACTCTGGGTGGGTGAGGTTTTAGAATCAGATCACACTGGCCAGACGACAGCAGGACTCTGTCACTGATGGTAAGCAGAGTGTCATCACACCTAAATGCTTGTAGCAAAAGTAGCCCTTGTGGTAAACCAGGGCTGGCTGCGGCTGGAAGGAGTCGCTCTGGCTTGTGCACAGGAAACAGTGATTTAAAAGACTACAGAGTTAATTTGTTGTTGCTGGATACTACTGCTTTTATTTTTTGGAAACAAACAAACAAACAACAAGAACAAAACAGGCTCAGGTCAGACAATCCCCAATTTAAGGCAGGATGTGGAAGTGAAAGGGCCTTTTTGGCCACTTTAAAAAGACTATCATGAATCCAGTAATGCCACCTTGGTATTTACCCAAAAGAGTTGACATCAGTTTGTCAAACAGATGTCCACACTTACACTTATCACATTTTTTTCACAATAGCGAAGAAATGGAGGCAACATTAGTGCCCATCAGTAGATAGATGGGGAAAGAAAAGGCAGTGTAGATGCACAACCAGCGGGATACTAATCAGCCCTGAAAGAGGGATTCCCTTAACACAGACGAGACTGCATTTGGTGGGTCAACTCTGGTTACAGTTCTAAGAGACAGGAAAATGTGATGACCCTTGACTCCTAAAGCAGCAAGCAGAGGCAAGCCCGTTTAAAGATGGCTCTTGGGCACTGTACTTGGGTTACATGCTGGGAAGAGCAACCTTGCCCAGTGCCACGTACTGCGCAGGTTCTGGGGCCC